GCGACGAAGGCACACCGCCGCCGAGTACGCCCAACTCGCCAGGCCCTGCGTCGCCGCACACGATCGGGCTCAAGGACCGGTCCGAGTCGGAAATGCAGTACCTCCATTTTATCCGGGACCACCTCGACACGCTCATTGTGCTCTTGTTCGACGTCCAGCGCGACGGCAACGTGTTTGCTGATATTCTTCTGCGCCCCGAGCAGCTCGACGTCGTCGGCTTCTTGCTCGCGGGCGGCGACTCGTTCGTGCAGCAGCAGTACTACCTGAGCACCATTTACCCGAAATGGGTCCACGGCGCCCAGTACACAAGCAAGCTCGCCAAGTGGCTCAAGAAATACCTCACGCTCAACGACGCTTTGTACCCGCCCATTGGATTTGCATTGACGCCGTCGATGCACTTTCAGCTCCACGGGTCCTTTGACCTGCATGACGGCGGCGACATGGACGACTCGGAAGGCGCGATCCACCTCCAGCGGTACCGCCTCTTCCTATTATCTGCATCATGACGAGATACATGTGTTTACGGACAGACCGCTCGTGCTGAGCAACATCGCCAAGTCGACCGTCATCAAGCGCGCCGACGAGATGACGCCGCGCTCGGACGTCACGATCTTCGCCTGCCACGACGCGTTCATTTACATTTTGGGCCCCGTGCGATATCCTTTTCCATCGTGTCTTCTTGTATGTGGACAGGTTGTCGCTGCGGCTTTCTTGACGATATTTCTACGCACGTGTCGATCGTTGCGTGTGCCAACTGCAAGATTGTGCTCGTCCCCAACAACGGCGTGCTCTCGATCGACCGCTGCGAGAGCGTCAAGGTCACGGGTGTCGCCGCACTGCTTCGCGTCCAGTACGGAGCTTAGCTGGGATATACGGAGACGTCACAACTGTGTAGCAACTGCTTGGATTCGGTCTTCAACGTCTATACACCCCGACGGGGCCTCTTCTCGGGCGACAACCGCGGCCTCGTTGTTGGCCCGTACAACTGCACCTACCCGATGCTCGAGCACCACTTGAGTACGAGTGAGTTTGCTTTCGCGCCGCACACCGCCGGCATGTGGGACAAGCTTCTCAACCTCGCGTCACCGGGTACGACAGAGTACGCAGAAGCCGTGTCGCCTCACGCACGTGTAGAAGACGCGACCGAGAAGGACGCGATCGTGCTCCAGTCGCCAAGTCAGTTTCTCGACGTGTGCATTCCCGTCAAGATGGAACTGTCCGCGCCAGCAGTCAGCAAGGTCGACGCCCGATGCAACGCGCTGCCTCTCAACGGATCGTAGGCGCCATTATTGACGCTGCCGCCGCCGTTCGAGGCTGTCGTGCAGCAGCTCCACGCCAACGTCGAGAGTCTCCGCCTTCTCCTCGCCGAAGACGACCTCGAGAGTGCTGGCAAGCGCGCGTTGGAGCAGGCGATCCAGGCCAAGTTCAAGGAGTGGCTCACGTCGTCCGGCCATGCGCGCGAAGTGCTCGACCTTGTCCAGCTCGAGAAAGCGCGCAGCCAAAGCACGTGAAACAGAAGGAACAAAACGACGATTTTACGCTGCGTTTGGAAAGCACGGGAACGACCGGAGGTGGGGCACCGCAATGACTTTTGCAAAAAGGCATTGGTGGGCGAGAGTCAATCGTCGAGAACGAGTGTCTTTGGTAAACGTCCCGGCGGTCCAGCCTGGGTTGTACATGTACGCCGACGCGGGGTTAATCGACCACATGAACCCACCAGCGTAGTGCTCTTCGAGCATGACGGCCATGAGAAAGTCCGTCGCGCGCTGCGTCGTCTTTACCGGGTGGGCTTTCGTAAAGACCTGCAAACTCGCCGAGGACGACCGCCTCCTTTTGCTTGGCGTTCAAATACAATATCGCGGGTTGCAATGCCATCAGCGTCGCCCGGGATGGTAGTCAGTCGGCGAGTGTCGAGCCCAAACGACGCGTTGGTCGTTGCCAGCTCTGGGTCTGCGCCGTTGTCCTGGACAACACCCGCCTGCCGCGCCCCACGTTGTGTACGTGTCCCTTGCACCACATGCAGCGTGCGCCGGCGTCGAGGTTGATGCCGCAGCACTTGTGGTGCGCCGTCGATGACATTGAAGCGGCCTCGGAGACGATGCCAGTCGGCGTTCTTGGGCAGCTTGGTTCCGAAGCCGGCGCAGCGTCGTTTCTCGGTTGCTGGCGTCGTCGCGTTCACATCGTTGATCGCTGTGGCTGCTGCGGCGCGCTTCCGCTGCCGGATGCACTTATGGCAGTCACCGTCCATGTTGAGGCTACGCTTGCCTCTCTTTGGTGGCCGCGCAGAACACGTGGACGTCGAGCACTTTGAGGGCGTGGCACCGCCCATGTTGGCCCACCGGTTCGATCCAAAGTGCGATCCTGACCTGCTCGATCGACACTGTTCTATCGTTGACCAACGTATTCGGATGATGAAATGGACCATCTTGGACTTATGGGCCACATTTGGCAGGTCGTGAGCTTCCTACTGTACGCGCCCACAACAGAGCCAGACTCCCGTTGAGGTCTCCAATCGCTCGCGCTTGGTCGACCGGTACGCAGACAATATTGCGTGCGTCTCACATATCAAGCGCCACTTGCCTTCGCTCGCGTTGAAGCCGTCGGAGCTCAAGACCGAGGTATCGCATTGCCAAGGGCAATAGGATGTGGCCAACAACGTCGTCGCCAAGTTTGCATCATTCTGGCGAGGTCTGCGCTGCTTTGCGCAAAATACGACGCTTCAATTGAATTCCTCTACAGCCGCAACCAACGATCTGCCGTCGCGTCTCTTCGTGGGAGGAATTCCTGCAGAACCAGAGGCGCCACCCGTCGCCTTACGGAGGGCCACTGCTTCATTGTCCAGCACCCTATCTCGCCACAAACGAGAACAAATCTCGCACACTCGAGGGTCAGGGGATAGAGCAAGTTCATATGACCCCGGAGGAGAGTTTATTCGGAATGTATTTTTGATGGGAAAATGGCACAAGTAGTACGTCGTTTGTCCAGCTTGGTGTCAA